GATCCTGCTGCTTCAGCCTCCCGACTGATGGGATTACAGGTGTGCACCACCATGCCCGGCTTTGATTTTTTTTAAAAATTAATGTTGCCGGGTATGCCGGCGCATGCCTGTAATTCTAGCACTTGGGAGACTGAGGTAGGAGGATCACAATGAGTTCGAGGCCAGCCCAAGCTAGTCAATTCAAGGCCAGCCTGGACTACATAGCAAGACCCTGTCTCAAAAAAAAAAAAAAGTTAAAAAAGTCAATATGGGAAGGGGAAGGAAGAAGGATAAAAAAGGAATAGAAGGAAAAAATGGAAGCTTTTGTAAGTAAGAAGGGGAAGAAAGGTTAAAGGGAGGAGAGGGGAATGGGGGAGAAAAAGACTCAAGATATATTAAGTACAGGTACAAATTCCCTATGATAAATATGATCATTGTGTATATCAAAAGTGTACCAATAAAATTAATTTTATTAAGGAAAAATCTAACCATGTACAAAGATAAAAGACAAGTGTGAGAGCTCCCATGTCGTCCTCACTAACCAGCTTCAACAACTGTGACATTTGCAGTCAAGTACATTCATCCCAGAGTGGGAGGGGCAATGTTTTGAATGTGAAGCTCTGACATCTCCCTAAGTGGAGATGCCCCGGCAGTCAGAAGTGTCAGCTGGCTGGAATGTTGGCATCTGGGGACCATCATGACTTCTTACCTTTAGGACTCAGGCTAACCCTGTTTGTGTTGGTGTGATTTTAGAATCCAATACTTAGTCACTTTCCTCATTGCTGGGACAAACTACCCATACCCTCGACTTATAGGAGGAGGAACTTATTTTGCCTCACAGTTAAGTCCATTGTCAGCTAGATCCGAGGCAGGAAGGCCTGATGGAAGACATGGAAGAGGAAGCCTCTCACCTTATGGTGGGCAGGAAACAGAACGTGGAGGAGCCAGGAAGGAAGATGTACCCTCCCAGGTCACACCCCCGATGACTCACCTCTTTTGACGAGACCCCACCCCCTAAAAGCAAGTCAACTGTAGAGCCCCCATAATCTAATCTTCTTCCAAAAAGCCCCACTTATGAGTGCATAAAGCTCTGGGGGACATCTAGACATAAACCAGCATAATCCATTTGCATTATTTATCTGTGGCAAGAATTTATGAACTTCCTCAGTGGTGGTGGTAGGAAGTATTCCTATAAATTGAACAGTATGCTTTACAGATAATTGAGGGTTGATGCTGTTTAAGTCACAGCAATCTTAATGAATGGCCCTTTTCTGTGCATACATAGGTGCTTATAGGTCTTTTTTTCTGTAGGTGTTTGAAACTCAAGAGTGTGAACGAATAAACTTCTTACGGAATGCACTGTGGTTACATTTGAATCAGCTGTCACAACAGTGTGTCACAAGTGATGAGGTAAGTCAGAGGTACCCACAAAGGATTGTGGCTTTGAATATTTGACTCATTAGAGTGGAAAGAACTGTAGATACCTACTACTTCATCCCTCTCCACTGCTTCCATTTGAGGTCCAGAGAAGTAAAGTGAATTGTTCAAGGCTACACAGTGACTCAATATAAGGGCCCAAATACACATGGAATCTTTCTGACTTCTGGTTCATTTTACTACAGGCTTTTAAATGAACAAATTCAGAGTTAGGGCAGGAGAATAGAGAATGGAACCCAAATGCAGATTGATGTGTGGAAGGGAGAGACATCACACCATCAATGTGAGTTCCAGTTCCAGTCTGGGATAGGATCACTCAGGCCAGCACCAAGTACAAGCACACTGACCTATGTCCAGGGCAGTGGTCTCTTTAGGGATTAAGACTGTCTCCCACAGCATTCCCAGTGCCATTATCCAGGATTAGACAAAGCAATAGTAACTGAGTCCCCAGATCTTACGTCATCATAACCTTCATTGCTAAGAAGTAGCCACCCTCACCCAGTTGGAACATTTCATTTAGAAGAATCATTAAACACTCAGAAAACCCATTGAACTGAATGGAAGAATGTTTTTTCCAGTTAAGTAATGGTCTTTATACGTGTGTGTGATGTTGTTCTTGTGTCATGGGAATTGGTATCTAGTTTTTGGTTCTATCAGCTTTCTTTAAACATTTTTTCAGCAAAATCTTTGTATTGCCACAAAGATACATTTTCTGGAATTTTTAAAAAACTTGGGGGC